TTTGTCTGCGCTGCTAAAAGTCAATTCTGGCGTAGTGTATTGTATACTATTTGGATATTTTTAGAAGAACAAATAAAATTTATAATAGAAAAATAAAATAAGATTAAGGTGTTTAAGTCATTTTAATAAAATGTTAAAAAAATATAATTTTTTCTGAGACAAAAGAAATTTGAAAGTAACAAGTAATTTAGAATATTTCCTTTATTTATTTGTTTAGTTAGGTTTTTTATTTATTTAAATATTGATAAATGTTATCCGCTCCAAAATTTGTTTTTATGTAAATTGAAAGATAAAATGTGAGTTTGATTTTGCTATGCTGGAATTGTTAGTAAAAATTGTTTTGATTTTAAAATAATTGACGTTATGTGTTATTATACTTTGATAGTATGTTTATCTACAACATTTAGACTCTCCAGCAACCATTCAAAAATGTTGTCAAAACTCTGAAAAATGTTGCCTAAAAGAATAGGGGACGTTTTCTAGGTGTCTCCTGTGCGAGCGTTGCCTATTGTCTAAGGGGGTATTTTTTCATGATCTTTGGGTACAATTTTTAAAAACATCGCCTAAACAAATGGAATAGTGGACGATTATTTGTGGCCTCTAAGGCAACACTTTTTAAGTGTTTCCACAAAAGGAATAGGGGACGGTTATTCGTGTCCTCTGAGGCGACACTTTTTAAGTGTTGCTACAAAAGGAATAGAGGACGATTATTTGTGGCCTCTTAGGTGATGCTTTTTAAGTGTTGCCAAATGCGGCTACAATTAATAAGTGATTCCTTAAATCTGAATAAGAAGGATTATTTTTAAAGTGTCCCAATAAAATAAGGAGGAATTTTTTTTACAGTGTCCCCACCTTTTGAATCAGGAGGATTGTTTTTACAGTGTCCCCATAACATTTAAATTTTATAATTATTTTTTAAATAATTTAGTCGATGATGATTGGCTTCAAAAAATATCGATTATAACTTAAAAAAGATCAAATTTAACCATCCACAAATGTTATATTATAATAAAATTGAGTTCAAACATTAATTTAAGATAGTAGTTAGTAAACAAAATGCCTAACGTAACATTACTTATAATAATAATTAAGTTTAATACTTTGAAGTATGACCCTAGCAAAATAACAAAAAACATAGTTCAAGTTTAATGCTTTCAACTACAAGCAAAAAAAAAAAAAGAAATCATCCAACTCATTCAAGTTTGTCTTCTTGAAATTCATCATCCATATCGTCTTCTTGAAATTCACCACATATGTCGTCCTCCAGAAATTCTTCATCTACCTCGTCCTCTTGAAATTCACTATCTATATCGTCCTCTTGAAATTCATCATCTACATCTATGTCGTCCTCTTAAAATTCATCACCTGCAACGTCCTCTTGGAATCCATCATCTACGTCGTCCTCTTGAATTTCGTCATTTATATCGTCCTTTTCAACATCTTCATTAATACCTTGCTGCATAAGAAAATAAAACAAAATAGATCATAATTATTTTTGTAAGATTGAATATCTTCCCAAAACAATTTGCAGAAACAAAACAATTTAATCTTTTATTTTAAAAAATGTTATCAAAATATATTGTACCTAAATTAAGTTTTAGAGATAGTTTACATGAAACAAGATTATTGCACACACTAAACAAAAGTATGGTCTCTTCTATTCTACCAATTAATGTAGAGTAAGAATATTCATGGCAAAAGTATTGCACTCATCATTCTTTATCATAAATCATATCTTCTTAACCAACACACGATACATAAGTCAATAGTATAAGTCATGTACACTGTAGAATTTATTTTTTGTTGTCACAAATTCTAATTTTAATAAACAATAGAATTTATATAGTATTTTAATTATAAAAAATAATTTTATATAATATTTTTGATACTATTAAACCATAGAATTTAGATAGTATAACGCAATTAGAATAACATAAATCAATAATATTGGTATATATGATTATCTTTCCATGACATGGAGCATGAGTTGATGTAGAGGAATGAATTTGCGGTCTCATTTCCTTTGGCGAACTGTTAGCATCTCTAATAGATAATCCTAACAAATCTTCTATTGACTCCAAATTAATTTGAGGATTGCATTGTTGTATTACAATCTTAAAAGCGTTTTGTAATCTATCAATTTGATCTTGAAAATCATGCCTTAATGTAGATACCTCTTCATTATGTGCTTGTTTCATAGCATTAATCTCCGCCTTTCGCTTTAAGGAAGTTTTAGTTATGTTTCTCCAATAACAACGTACCCTACCGGGACCCTCCTTTCCAAAAACAGATTTAAAAGCTTCTGTATCACTTTCCTCCTTTTCAACCATTTCTTGAAGTTGGGACTAGCATAAATTGCTCGAAAATATTAACTACTATTATAGACAATATAAGCCGACTATATTAAGTAAACATACTATATAAACAATGTTACATACAATTACTTTTCCAGTTTCTACATCCAGCTCCTTTCCTTTACTTCCTTTTCGAGTTTCAACAAACATTTCTGATTGAGTGGGCTCTCTTTTTTCCTTTTCACGCTGCAGAAATTAAAGTAATTCCATAACTAAACAATCAGTGGATTAAATCTCCTATTACAGAAACAAGACATAAATTAAAATTCTCAGAGAACCATTCATCCAAGGAATACTTTAATTGAGCAAACAATCATTCATACAAGGAATACTTTATTGAGAACGAAAGAAAGTTACCATTTTTTCACGAGTTAAAGCAAAGTTTTTGGGACCCATTCGATGCATCCACTTTAGTTGAGCTCTATTTCTAGTGTTAGTTTCACTGATTGCCTACATTTAAATTTGACGAAATTATTTTAATAAATCTTACTTTATTATGGCATATATAGAAAGGTGAAAAATCACACACATACATAAAAAATTATAATTCTTACTTGTATAGCTTCCTTAGTCCAATAATCACAAAGACTTTTAAACTGAGTTATGTGCACCTTTAGTGGACGATTTTTTAGTCTCTCAGACATGTTCGAATACTTCAAAAAATGATTCTTCTTAATTTTGTGCTTATATCTTCTCCATGCATCTCTAATAGTGGTCTCAACCCAATCTTGTGCTTCAATCGGCAAGATAAACTTCCGCTACAAAATTTATAAGATAAAACAAGATCAAAAAATAAATTTTTTTTTGAACAATTAGACATTCAAATTCATATATACACACATACATTAGTATATCTCCAGAAACATTTTTTATTATCATCTGGCCTTCCTGACCAATTGGTGTAACGTAGAGGACAAAATGTTGAGTTCCTAGCCAATGTTCCCAAAAAAAGGCTCAAATCAGATACTACTTTATCACTAGGGCCAATTGGTTGACCATCCTCATTAAAGGTTACTTCTGCTCGTTTTTCCAAAGTTCTTGCATGAATCTTTTTGCACAAAGTTTTCCCATGAGTTTTTTTTGGGATGTTCCTATAAAGTAATCAACACAACAACATGATATCACATGTTTACTACCAATATGTAAATAATGTATGAAACAGTTACTATGAAATACAAAACTAATTACCTTTTTCTTCTTCTCTATTTGTGTTTGCCTCTTCTTCATTGACTTCTGCCCAATTTTGAACACTTTCTTGTTGAGTTCTTTTTTTTTTTGGTTGATTTTAAATAGAGATTGGGTTAACGTTGCAGCCCGGTTTTTCTCCATTATTTGACTTGTGAAGTTCTACATAATCATCAATCAACATTGATGGGCATTTTGGCACTCTCTTTTCCTTTTTAGAGCATTCAGTTTTTGACATCGCTGTCTCCAAAGATAGATTAGATTTCTCTAGTTTCTTATTTTTGGAAGGAATAAATATTTTCCTTGCAACTGTTTTTTCCACCTTCTGAATTTTGTCTCTATTATTCTCTAGTAGATTCTCATGAGTTCTTTTTTTCAGCATTCCTGGTTTTAAAATAATTTTCTCATCAAAATAATGTCATAAAAAGAATATATAAATTTAATGTATATGTAAAGATATTAATTACCTTGTGAAACTTCTTTGTTTCCATGTGTAAAAACTTCCTTAGCTTGTGGTTGCAAAAGCTTAGGTCTCTCTGTTTTCTTTATAGCAATGTGGTTTTCCAATTTGCCATCAACCTTTTGAACTCTTTCTCTATTTATTGTATCATTTTCATGAGTTCTTTTCTTTGGTGTTTCTAATTTTAGTTAAAATTCATCAAGATATATTTGAAATAATTTAACATAATATATACATAATAAACAATTACTTACCTTGTACAACTTCTTTGTCACCATGTGCATGATCTTTCATTACTTTTTGTTGCGAGAGTTTATCTCTCTCCATTTTCTTTGTAACAGTCTCTTTGTCGAAATTGCGATCAATCTTTTGAACTCTTTCTTGTTGAGTTCCTTTTTTTGGCGTTTCTAATTTTTGTAAAAATTCATAAAAAAAACATTAGGAATAATATATCTAAAGGAAATCCATAACATAAATTTTACATACGTAATTCTATAAAATCTTATGAAACAAGAAAATGATTTACCATCCATAACTTCTTGGACCCTTTCTCTATTGTTTCCCTGCAACATCTCATGCAACTTGTCAATTTTTTCCTTCTTAACTTGCTTGAGTACTTTATTTTTCAATTATGCACTTGATCTTGCTAGAAGAGGAAAATCAAATCTTTTAGTTGAACTTCGACCACTCTTCCTATGCGATACACCATCTTTTACACTTCTTACATTGTCCATTATGGCCAGCAACTATGAACTATAAAGGGAGAAAATTACATAATTATACAACACAATTAATGTTCAAACACAATCTATTAACAAAATGGCATATCTCAGTACAAATATTTGTAAAGTATGATATAAACTAAGACCATAGAAAGACATAATAAACAATATTCATCAATAAAATGGTAGAACACATTGTGAACATTACCTAATCGGTACTAGAATCATAATCGATTTCATCGTCACTTACATAACTTGTGCCATTATGATCACCCTCTATTAATTTTTTTGGTTGTGAAGTTCTGACAAAGGAATTTCAAAGATATCATCTGACACGTCTTTCCTAACTAAATCCACTTCACAATCATCCTCTAATGTATCAAGATTTGTTGAAATATCATATTCTTGAGCATCTGAACCCAAACATTCTCCCATGTCAAACGTTTCCCTTGAAAGTGCATTTAGAACATAGTGTTTGTTCTTGTTTAAAGGATCTTCAATAAAGAAGCACTGTTGAACTTGAGATGCCAACACATATGGATCATTTTTGTAGCATTTTTTGTTGAAGTAAACGAACGGCGTTCCATATTTATCCTTTTCATCCACAAACCAATCACATTTGAACAATACATATTTTTCATGACCATAATAATCTAACTCTATAATATCTTTTACTACCCCATAGCAAGCCACACAAATCTTTTTGGGATTTTCATCCTTTGCATTTCTAATAACTTGAGTCACGGCTTCTAATGTCACACCACTATTTTGTGTTTTAAGCCTTGCTTCGCAGTTTGTTGTATGAAACCTGTATCCATTAATAACATAACCAGAATACCTTCTAAGAACATCATTTGGTCCCCTAGACAACACCTTCAACCATTCGGTAACTTCCTCTTCTATGACACGTGTTTTAAACCATTGAATAAAATCTTCTCTTTGATTGTTAGCTTTTCTGGGCTTCCTTTTTTTTTTTAAGATTATGAACATTAACCTCATGCTCTCTACAAAATAAATAACTAATTTTTCAATACAAAAGAAAAATAAAACTTATTACAAAATGAAATGTTGTATCAAATAGATGGTTATACCTAATGTATTCTTGCACTTCATCACAATTGAATAAAATGTACCCGTGAGCTTGGTTTAGAGACATATTATCAAGGGAAATCAGTTTCTTTCCCCCAATTGGATGAACTATGCTTGGAGTATCATCGCTATTTCGTGTCGTTCTATTCATCCTTGTGTCTACAGCACTAGACAAATATCTTGAACAAAATGTTAGAGATTCTTTAACCAAGTATGCTTCAGCGATAGAACCCTCTGGACGACTCCTATTACGAACAAAAGATTTTAAATCACCCAAATATCTTTCCATATAATACGTCCATCGAAATTGAACCGGTCCACCTAATCTGACTTCGTTTACAAGGTGAATTGGCAAGTGAACCATTATGTCAAAGAAACTTGGAGGGAAGATACGCTCGAATTGGCAAAGTGTTTCAGCAATTTCAACTTCCAAGTAATCCAAAGTTTTCACACCTATAACCTTCTGGCATAAACACCGAAAAAATGAACAAAGTCGGAGCAAAGGGATAACAACTTGATTAGGGGCTATCCCTTTTATTGCTACTTGCAACAAGTAATGCAATATAATATGAGCATCATGACTCTTGTATCCAGAAACTTTTCCTTCATTAACTTGAACACATCGAGAAATATTAGATGCAAGGCCATCAGGAAGTTTTGTTGTCTTTAAAACATTACAAAAAATAGATTTCTCTTGCTTTGTTAGGGAGAAACATGCCTTAGGGATTTGGGTTTTCTTACCATCACTCGTTGCCTTCAAATGGAGTTTTTTTCTAATCCCCATGTGTTGTAGGTCCAAACGAGCTTTTGCATGATCCTTTTTCTTCCCTTCAATCTCCAAGAGAGTCCCCATTATATTATCACAAATGTCCTTTCCTGCATGCATAACATCTACATTATGTCGCAAAGAATTATCCTTCCAATATGGTAATTGCCAAAAGATAGACTTTTTCTTCAATGGACCAGGCCTTTTTTCTGATATTTTTGCCCCACTACGTCAGGGATCTTTTCTAAGTCTTTTAAAATCATTGTTGAATCTAACAAGGAGGGTGCAGACCTATATTCTGGCTTTCCATCAAAAGAACTTGAATTTGATCTCCAACTATGATTTGAATCCAAAAAGACTCGATGACCCACATAACACATCTTTCGACTATGTTTTAAGTATATTGAAGAAGTTTTATGATTACAAACAGGGCAAGCAAACTTCCCTTTAGTGCTCCAGCCGGATAACATAACATATGCAGGGAAGTCATTCACAGTCCACATAAGAGATGCACGCATTTGAAATGATTGGTTTTTTGACATATGGATGATGAATTTCAAGAAGACAAACTTGAATGAGTTGGATGATTTCTTTTTTTTTTTTTGCTTGTAGTTGAAAGCATTAAACTTGAACTATGTTTTTTGTTATTTTGCTAGGGTCATACTTCAAAGTATTAAACTTAATTATTATTATAAGTAATGTTACGTTAGGCATTTTGTTTACTAACTACTATCTTAAATTAATGTTTGAACTCAATTTTATTATAATATAACATTTGTGGATGGTTAAATTTGATCTTGTTTAAGTTATAATCGATATTTTTTGAAGCCAATCATTATCGACTAAATTATTTAAAAAATAATTATAAAATTTAAATGTTATGGGGACACTGTAAAAACAATCCTCCTGATTCAAAAGGTGGGGACACTGTAAAAAAAATTCCTCCTTATTTTATTGGGACACTTTAAAAATAATCCTTCTTATTCAGATTTAAGGAATCACTTATTAATTGTAGCCGCATTTGGCAACACTTAAAAAGCATCACCTAAGAGGCCACAAATAATCGTCCTTTATTCCTTTTGTAGCAACACTTAAAAAGTGTCGCCTCAGAGGACACGAATAACCGTCCCCTATTCCTTTTGTGGAAACACTTAAATAGTGTTGCCTTAGAGGCCACAAATAATCGTCCACTATTCCATTTGTGTAGGCGACGTTTTTAAAAATTGTGCCCAAAGATCATGAAAAAATATCGCCTTAGACAATAGGCAACGCTCGCATAGGAGACACCTAGAAAACGTCCCCTATTCTTTTAGGCAACATTTTTCAGAGTTTTGACAACATTTTTGAATGGTTGCTGGAGAGTCTAAATGTTGTAGATAAACATACTGTCAAAGTATAATAACACATAACGTCAATTATTTTAAAATCAAAACAATTTTTACTAACAATTCCAGCATAGCAAAATCAAACTCACATTTTATCTTTCAATTTACATAAAAATAAATTTTGGAGCGGATAGCATTTATCAATATTTAAACAAATAAAAAACCTAACTAAACAAATAAATAAAGGAAATATTCTAAATTACTTGTTACTTTCAAATTTCTTCTGTCGCAGAAAAAAAAATATATTTTTTAACATTTTATTAAAATGACTTAAACACCTTAATCATATTTTATTTTTCTATTATAAGTTTTATTTTTTCTTCTAAAAATATCCAAACAATATACAATATTGAAATGATTCTATATTTCATGTTTAATTTCTAATTGTATTAGAAAGTGCCCTTACCTTAAATGATTTGCTTCCCCGTTGTCATACTTCAAATTTTTCCTACCTTTTTTAAATTTTCATTTGTCCGACTTTATTTTCATTTTGCATTGTCTGCATAGCTTATCATACCCTTCATCATGAATAAATCCTAAAATGATTAGGCAGAATGAATTCTCGGATATACAGACCGACAGATTGAATTATTTCTCAGATATTCAAAAAAATCAGTGGTTGAAAAGTTTCGAATTTAAGCTTGTAGACGTTAGTAATATTGATCTACTATTCACAAAGTTTAACCAGACGCGCTCGTCTTAGTTTTCGACGACTTCTCACACATATCGATAAGTCTGTTGTTGAACACGCCAAAGACCCCAGTAGGATTGCATTTCCTTGCTTAGGTTGCTGTTATGGGTGTCGAATTGACGTTGTTCAGTTGGAATCTCATTTAATGAGACATGGAATTGATCGAAATTACACATGTTGGACATTACATGGTGAGATAAGTAACGAGAATGTTGAACCCCGGAATAATACGACCCGTGCTTCAAAGGACAATGGCAGGGATACATATGATTGTGATCGATAAGTCTGAGGCTTTTATCGGTCCTGATTTATTTTCAAATTTGACCAAACATTGTATTTTTCCAAGTCATTTATTTCGCGCTGATCATTTTAATGCAGTCGATTTATTTTTCTTGGCACTTTGTCACCCTATTTTAATTATTTTCAGCCGTTTTATTTTTATCTTGTCGCGAAAATATTCATAATAATAAAATATAATTTCCCATGTCTAGCTTCGAATTAGGAATGACCTTTTTGTATCCGTCAGAAGTTGAATAATAGGTCTTACACGTTAGAAAGTTTCGAGGGTGTTGAAATACCTAGGGTCTGGAATTAATATAACCAACCTTAAGTTTTATTTTAGCTAAACTATGTAATAAACATCGTAAATAAAAATTATCGGGATGCACTTTTTCCATTGCAAAGGCAAGGGTTTTTAATGAGACACCCATAGTTAAAATATTTGTATTGTGTAAAGCAGGTAAATCGCTCCTAGGACATGATCCGGGATTAAGCACGGAGCCAGCGAGTAATCATCGGAAGGCCCTATCTTTCCACATAATCGGTTATGGTCGGGACACTTAACCAATCATTTAAGGCTCTCCCTGACCTGTATCAGAGAAGTCAACTTTGTAGTGTTTTTAGCAAGAACATGAAACTATCGCCATAACTTGATCAACATAACCACAACTTGATATTCAAACATATTCATTTGATCATTGCGTCAAATGATCTTTAGGCTTCGCATTAATTAACACATCTTGATCAACATATCTTGATTTTCAAACACCATCACTTGGTCAACATATCCAACACTATCACTTTATCATATCAAGCATCATAGTCTTCGTTTCTTAAGAACATTGTAACATCAAAACCAAATCAACAGGTTGTTGTCGACTTTAAAGCTGCAAACACATAGATCCATATTCTACATCCTTTTGAAGATGACAATGCATCTCTCAAGGATGTGGATAAACAAAGGAAATACAATTTGGATAGGTTAAAATCTTCCCGATAAATATAGAGTATACCCTACTCTCTTAAAATTATACTTCTCCCTCTCTAGCAACATCAAAAAGGCAGAAATGATAAACACATGCAATCACATAGATCATATAATTGCACAAGTAGAAGGAAGGAGTAACTTGACAATATTGTCATATTTTTTATAGAGAGAATAAAAAATTTAAGTTTTAATTTTTTAATATATTCGTTCCGTCCACTTTTTTTGACATGTTTTTGTGAATGTGAATATTAACATGATATTTTGTATTTTAAACTTGTGAATTTAATCTTTTTATTTAACATTATATTTTACTATTTAATCTTTTTTGCGAACGTGTTCTTTTAACATGATATTTTCCGTTAAAACATTTTGAAAAATAGTATAAAAAAAAGAAAGAAAAAGTCATCTCTCAAAATGTTATAATTCAACTTATCTTTAGAAGTCTTACCATATAATTCAACTTACGTTTGAAAGAAATTTAAAACTCATAAAAAGTCATCTCTCATATAATGTGTTGATTTAGTAAATCTCTTGTTTTTCAAAGTAGGAAGGTTCTTGACAATTTATCGTTCTGTTGAGAATTTGCACCACTTTGCGGTTCTACTATTTTTGAAGATATATTCGAAAAGGAAGTTACTCAATAAATTTTTTTATTAATATTTTTTTAATAAAGATGTCATTCAATTAAGAAGTCATATTAACATTTTATACTAATGAACTTAATCGTTTTATTTCAAATTTAAATAGTTTTTATATAATATGTTTTCTAAATGGTAGAATTTATTTCAAATTTAAATATTTTTAAATTGAAAAATGACTTAAATAATCATTTATGATTAAAAAAATTATATGCATAATTTAAAATAAAATTCTCAATTTATTCATGAAAACTATTTACAAAAAATTTTAATTTAA